GGAGACCGGCGCCAACGCCAATGACACGCCCAGCACCCTGGCCTTCCACCGCCTGGCCGTCGTGCTGGGCACGGGCGCAATCAGCAGCGGCTCCACGAGCCTGAGCGTCGGCGCGACCGTGGCGGGCCGCACCGAGGTCAGCCTGGGCGGCATCACCGTCGTCGTGCTGCAGGCGGACGCGCTGGGGCTGACCGTCACGTCCACGCTGCCCGCCACTGCGCGGCTGGAGCTGGCGCTGAGCGGCAGCGGCACGCAGACAGTCACCGTCTACAGCGAACAGGACTACCGGCTCGCGCTCGAAAACGTCACGCTGGCCAGCACCGACGGGCCGGCGCTGAACCTGCAGTCCAAGAAGCGCGCCTTCGTCGTGCTGACCGGCAGCAATGCCCTCAGCGACACCGGCACCTACACCGCCCGCACGCTGCCCGACGGCAGCGCGATGGACCTCAAGTCCACCCTCTTCGCCGAAGGGGCCGTCATCATCTCGGGCAGCGGCAGCCTGAGCGTCACCGCGGCGGCCAAGCACGCGCTGGCCAGCGACGCGCATGTGCGCCTCGTCAGCGGCATCGTCACCGTCAACGCGGTGAAGAAGGACGGCGTGCGCGCCAACAACGCCTTCGTCATGGACGGCGGCAGCCTCACCGTGACGACGCCAGCCGGCAAGGGCATCAAGGTCGAAGGCAAGGAGGACACGACGGCCGCCGTCGGCTTCATCGCCATCAACGCCGGCACGCTGACGATCACCAGCCACGACAAGGCCGTCACCGCGTCCTGGGAGGGCGCCGAGGACGGCGACACCACGACGACCGCCGACGACCCCGACCCGCGCGTCACCATCAACGGCGGCACGCTCACGATCACCACCACCGGCACGCCGGTCGAGGGCACGCTGTCGCCCGAAGGCATCGAGGGCAAGTCCAGCGTGACGATCAACGGCGGCACCCTCGTCGTCAACAGCACCGACGACGCCATCAACGCCGGCAAGGCCATCGTCATCAACGGCGGCCGCATCTACGCCCGCGCCACGCGCAACGACGCCATCGACAGCAACGGCACGATGACGATCACCGGCGGCCTCGTCGTGGCCGACGGCGCCAGCGGCGCCGAGGGCGGGCTGGACTGCGACAACAACACCTTCGCCGTCACCGGCGGCACCTTCATCGGCCTGGGCGGGCGCAACAGCAGCGTCACCGCGAGCGCGTCCACGCAGAACTGCGTGACGATGCGCAACCTCGCCGCCGGCCTCGTCGTGCTGCGCGACGCCAACGGCAAGCCC